ATACATATTTGTGTAGTATAGTGTGCCATTTCAATCAACATAACAGTTTTAACGATCAAATCAGGACACTAATATAAATGTCACTTGAGACACACGGTTTTATTTTTTTACACTGAGAACATTCAAAAGCCTTTGTATTGGCTATATTGAAATACTTTATTAATAAGCTAGCTGTATTATCTATCTATAGCATATTAGAACTCTCCTCAGACCTAATATACCCATATCTTATTTATAACATTTTAACATGAAAATACAACTTTCCAACTTGTTTATAAGTTATGCAAAGGGGGAGTCTGATGCATATACTACTTTGAATCTTCTCTCAGTTCACAACTTAGTGTCCTGTGAATAAGGTACCACATATATATTCATGAAATTGAATACTCAAGGTTGAATTGTACATTATGCACAAAACAAACATTTCACTGTAGCCCTTTAACAGATGTTCATAGATGCTGCTGTCTTTCCTTTACATTGACCCAACCCAGTAGATCCTGGTTCTGTGATTCAGGAGAAGTCAACTTCCCAGCCATGTAGACCTCACTTCTGTTCCTCAAATCTGCTCTCTTGCTAGAGTGGTCTCTTGCTAATCTGATCACTCACTATGTGAGTGTTTTGTTGCTAAACTTTCTTTTTCCTTTGTTAAAAAAGCAACAGGTAAGTTCCATTTCCACAAATTTTGGTATTCAACTTCATCTACATCAATAACTTCTAACCCCCAGTGTTATGGTAGCAACAGACATAGACATAAAAAAGGTCACTAATTTTTAATACACTCAAGTTTCAATGAGATCAGTGTACCTAGGAGATTATTATATGTAAAGAATAGTATTTTCAAACATATACTTATAATCTGACATTAATAATAAAAATATACTTTTAGGGAAACAACTACAGGCACATAGCTCCACTCCACTTGTAAATCTGCCCTTTAATAAGGCGCACAGGTAATGATTTGCAAGCCACCCAGACTCAATCAGCATGCTAGACAGTAAGAAAGGTTTATAAATAAGGTCATCTAATCATGCTAAAAGAACCCCTTAAGAAATATATGATACTGCTTTGATTTTTGTTCATTAACAATATACAACACACAGACTTGTACAACCAGTTTCTAGGCAGAAAACATGTTTACTGTGAGGAAAGCTGAGCTCTGTTTAATGGAGGTTGGCACTTCCATGTGACAGTATAATTTCTGATTACATGATCACGATATGCTCAGTAATCCAGTGATACTCTGTATGGTGTTCACCCTCTGTAGGCTTCTGATCCATGACTGGAAGGACAACAGGGGTAACAACAGAGTATTCAAACCAGTGATCCATATCTGCCTCAAGAGTCATACGCAGAGAATTGTTTCTTGGGGAAAACACTTCTTAGTGAGTTACATGCTTTACTACTGAAGTAAGATGCAAGCTCAGGAAGGCATTTTGAATAAGAGAATAAAAAAAAACAGAAGAGAAATTTAGATACAACATGCCTTGTGTGTTATAAAGCTATTATGTTCTTTGAATACCTACCAAAGAGTTACTATCCATTCAATCCTATCATATATTTAGCCAAAATCAATTTTTAAAATTTACAATGTGCTTTTGCTGACATGTAGAAATGGATAGCAACTATAACTGAGAAGGCTCTTATTGACAGAATTGACCTTATTGACCAGAAGAGTATTAGTCCCCAGATAAGGACTTCTGAGCATGTTTGTATGAATGCTGCCAGGTATTGCATGACTTTTCTGAGGAGAGGAGAACAAACATCTGTATACCTACCCAAGGTTCCTTAGCAACCGGTGAGGTTTGTGAGGTTCCTTACAGGAGTATGGATGAAGGGTGGCACCATCCCAGCATCCATGACTACTCTCGAAATCTGTACTTCTAGAGCTCCCTGACCAGTATGCATGCTGATGGTGCCATCTCCTCTATCCAGCAACTTCTTACTGCTTTTGTAACCGTCGGAAGAGGTTGGAGAATCTGTAATTTTTCCAAGCACGCCAGCCTTGAAAGTTGTATCAGCTTTATGAGTGTCTCAATTCCCAAGCTTTCTTCTTACTAAGGAACTCCAGGAGAGACACATGAAACAAATCAGACCATGCAGCCACACTATCGCAGAAAAGCAAAATATACTTTTTAAAAGCAAGGGACTCCAGAAAAGCAAAAAAGAAAAAATAAATTTTAAAAATAAGACCAATGTACTAGGGATATATACTGGTTCCACTGTCAGAGACCCCATAGACTGCCCAGGCCTTGCAACTGACAGCCATGTTCAGGGGTCCTAGTTTGGTCCTATGCTGGTTCCCCATCTGTTAGTCTGGGGTTCATGAGCTCTCCTTGCTCAGGTCAGCTGTTTCAGTGAGTTTTCCCAGCCTGGTTTTGACCCCTTTGCTCGTCACTCCTCCCTCTCTACAACTGGATTCCAGGAGTTGGCTCAGTGCATAGCTGTGAATCTCTGTTTCTGCTTCCATCAACTTCTGGATGAAGGCTCTAGGATGGCATTTAAGTAGTCAGTCATCAATCTTATTTAAGGGAAGGATATCTGGGATCCCATTTCCTATGGAGGGATACTCTCTCAGCCTAGATACGTGGGGGAGGGCCAAAGTCCTGCCCCAAATGTTCTAACAGACTTTGATGATCCCTCCTGGGAGGCCTCACCCTCCTTGAGGAGTGGATGGAGGGGTGCGATGGGGAGTTGGTGGGAGGAATGGGAGGATGGAAGGGAGAGAGAAATGGTATGTAAAATAAGATTGTTTTAATTTAAATAAAAATTAATTTTAAAAAAGAGCAATACCTGTCTTTTGTTGAAAGTTCAGAAACTAATAAAATAATTAAAGCAAATTGCTCATACATCTACCACTAAGAGATAACCAATGTTCTGATACATGGCCATGCTACACAGCATCAAAGGAAACCCAGACTGAAACCTGTCAGACATCTGCAGTACAAAGCAGTACATTTTGACAGACTACAAAGAGGTTAAAATGGGCAATGTCCTCATGAGCTCCTGTGATGGAGCTCACTGATGGAGCCACTGTTTTGTTAGTCTGAGGATCCTTTTGGAAATGCAGGACATAAGCACCCCCCACTCATGTCTTGCTCAGTTTTCTGGTCCACAGAGAAGTGAGCAGGCTGCCCTTCAGCTTCACCTGCACATACCTGCCACTCTGAACTGGTCTGCTCTCACAGCTTCCTTCCCACTGCAGTAGACTACATCCCCAAAACTATGAACTGGAGTAACCCACTCTTCCCTCATGTAGCTTCCCTCAGGTATTCGATCACAGGGACAGGAAAAGATAATGCAATGTAATTCTTCAACAAGAGCCCAGTGGTCTGACGTTATCAGCACACATTGTCGAATACACTGAGCAGCTATTTGAAGTTAGCAATATTGGGGCTGAATTCTAACTGCTAGAGTCTCAAAGGACAGCCTCGTTATTATGATTCATTTCCTATTTCCTGGCCTGTTGTCACTTTCCCAGACAACATAATGACATTTTTTTTTCTTTTTTTTTTCTTTTGGACTTTTTTATCTTATTTTATTTTATTTTATTTTATTTTATTTTATTAGTTCTAGTTAGGGAACAAGCTTATTTCAAGTCCCTT